ATTATCACATAAGCACATAGCCCATGGAAGCATGCTTCATGGCAATCCTCACACACAGCAAGGATGCTAAAGCAGTAACCACCGAGTATCAAAGCGCAAACGAAAACAATTAGAAATCTATGGCATGATCTTAATTACAGAAATGCCTATGCAACACATGAAAAGTGCAACTATAGCAAGGCCGGCTATTCTAGGATGACCTATGATAGTAGCTACAGCTACAACATTATTCAATCTTGGAATGAAAATAAATCAATTAACCATGATGCGCCAGCCAGTGCAATGCAGGGCAGATGAATGAATGTCAAACAGGCTATCATATGACTGTAGGCAATGTGAAACATTCCTAATCTAAGCCTTGCATGAACGGTAGATAAAAGGGAGAAAGACGTGGGGTTGAAACTCATCAACACACCTACGCACACTTTACAGTTGTGCCCCTGCAGGGGTCCGAATAAATAATATACAGTCCGAATGAATAAATAATTACAGTCCCGATAAATACAAAATCCTAATAATTTACAAAATTAATCAGGAAGCTATAAACTGCATGCAAGCCAGGGACTGCTTGACTCTGAGAATGATGTTATGTTTCGGGCGCTGCGCGAAATTTTCACTGGATGCCCCAATTAGCTCTGTTTTGTAATTAGCCTTGAAAGCGCGGCCAAGCTCCGGAAGGTTTGCTATTCTGATTGCTCAAACAGAGAAGAAAGAGCGGCATAGCAATGTATTTCACATATGTAACGTAATGCATTCTCGATCCTCGTGCCACAATCAACGCATATGATGCATAAGCGAAGAGTCGAATGTGCCACTCAATTAGAAATTGAATCACATTGAAAAAAAACAAAACCCTAGACTCATCATGATAAATACCGGTGTCAGTGACTGGGGAATTGAGACAGCGTCCGCCACTTCGGAGTACGAACGACCTCGTTTCCCGTGCTCGGGCTAACTCCTATCCCAAGCACAATGCAATATGCATGACATGCATGAATGCAACTAATATACAATCTAACATGCACAATGCTATGAAATGGCATACACGATGCACGAGATAACATGGCATACACAATGCGCTAACATACAACCTAGCATACGCAATGCTATGAAATGAAATGGCATACACAATGCATAATGGACTTACACCAACATGAGTGGACCTCAGCCACACTCACATAAGAGGCCATTAGATGAAAATGAGACTCTCGAAGTACGTGCACGCATGCACGCAAACCGAGGACCGACCCTAAGGCACCAAATGCCACTCTAACAAGACATGGCAAGGCATGGAAAATGGCATACAAGAATGCAAATTTCAGTACTAAAATATGCCCCAAAACAGTCCCGAATCATGACAATATAGCCCCCGATGCATGAAATGAAACTGAAATGCAAAACTAGGCCTATGCGTTGGCCTATAGTTATACAAAACATGCATTATTTGCTTATGACATGTGAAGACAGATTCAAGGCAATCCCAAAATAAGCATGTTCACAGTTTTAAGCAAGACCAAACAGCAAACACAAGTAGGGCAGAACTAGCATGCAAAAATGGCCCTAAATGCGAGATAAAGAAGCAACTCACAGCTGCCGACCCCAAACAGATTAGGGCCCTTCAACAAAGTTGAAGAGGGGCCCAAAAAATGATCTTTTACAGTTTATGGAAAACCACAAAAACCAGCATAGGTAAGGCTAAACTCTCATGCAAGAAATGGGCCAAAAGATGGCCAAAGAAGCAAGTGGTGGTTTCTGGCCTTAAACACAAAGGGGTCCTTCAACAATATTGAATATGGGCCAAAAATAATGCATTTTACAGTTGATGGCCGGACCCAAAACAGCATGCAAATATGTTCAAAATGCTATGCAAAATGAGGTCCAAAAGAGAGATATAACACAAAGTATATAAAAGATGCCTCAAACCATAAAAGAATATTAATGAAACATGAAGAATGGGTCAAAATAAGACTGTTTTTAGTTCTGAAAAGAGCCCAAAAACAAAAGCACAATAGGCTAGCAAGTCATGCAAAAATGGAGCCAAAATAGAGATATAAAGGCAAGTGGAAGATAGAAGCCTCAAACATCATTGAGCCCTTCAACAACATTGAAGAAGGGCTCAAAATAAGCCCCTTTACAGTTTATGACATGCCTCAAAACAGATTATACCTAGGCCAAAAAATACTACACAAGATAATGACATACAAGAAGGGTAATGAAGCAAGTGCACCAAGGAGGCCTCAAACAGTGAGGGTCCCTTAAACAAAAGTGAAAAGGAGCTCAAAAAAATGCCATTTTCAGTTAGGGCCGGAGCTCAAAACAGCAAGAAAATATGACTTATGTATTGAACAAAATATGGACCAAAAATGGGAGGAAATGGAACTTACCCTTGAAGACTTGACTTTGGCACCCTTTTGGCTTGAGATGTAGCACTCCTAGGCCTTGAAGAAGAACCTCCAGCTGCTGGAATGAAGGATGAAAGGGTGGAGCTTGGTGGTGGTGTGGAAAGGGGTATGCGACTTGGAAGGTTTGAGCTTGGAAATAGAGAAGGAGAAGGATATAATGCAAAGGGCTTGAGGGGGAATTTTCCAACCCTAAACCAGCAGCTGGAGCTGCTGATATATAGGCAAAAAAAGGGGGGGAAAAGGGGGGGAAAATTGAAGGGAAAACACACCAAGTTTCCCTCCAAAATGCAGCCCCCCGGATACAAAATCTGGGGGGAAAACAGATACACATCTGCACTGTAGCTGATACAAGGAACATGGCCGGCCAGTTATCTTGGTTGCAGGTGGCCGGCCGGCTACTTCCTATGGCCGGCCGGCTAGGGGTCAAAAGGGTCAAGAGGAATTAGTGGCCGACCATACTAAATTGGTGGCCTCCCATGTGTGTACAACACAGCCCTGTGGTTAAACATTAGAAAAAGTGAACCAGGAGAGAGAACAACCCACTTTTCAAAGGGGGTCAAAAGGGTCAACAACAATTACTGGCCGGCCACCAAATATTGGTAGCCTCCCAGGTGTGTAGATCACAAATATGTGGTTAAAAGTTCAAGAAAATGGTCCAAGGGTGGTCAACATTGGCTTTGAAGTGGACAAAATCGGGCGACGGAGGGCGATGAAGGGATAAAGTTGGCTGACAGAACAATTACTGGTCTCCCACCCTTCTACGGCCTTCCTAGCAACAAAACAGAGGTCCCTGCCAAAAATGAACCAAAACCGATGCAAAATGAAGGTTCGGGGGCCGGAACGCGCAGTTCGAGGTCCCAAAAACTGACCGTCAGGCACCGGGAGTGGTGTTCGACCACGAAGTTGGTCTCTCGGACCACAGTGTCCCTCAAAAGGGAGCAAATAGGATGTATGCCAAAAACCGGAGCAAACGGAGATGGTTAAGCGGTCCCGAACCGAGACACACGGCCAACGGCTCCGAAAAATCGGAAACCGGGCTCCAAACGGGCAAAATGGCCTACGACCACGAAACGTAGCCTACGGCCACTGAGAGATGGTCTACGAGACCTCTCCCTCCCTTTGGTAAGAGAAAACAGAGAAAACTGAGCCTGGTTCGCAAACCGAGACAAAGCACAAAAGAGCCCGGAAGTCCGGAGGCAAGGCTCGCAGCCGAGACTCTGAAACTTCTGAGCAAGCACAATATGCAGTATCACCGAGTGCTCAACTGGTGACGTCTGAGTCTCAAGGTCGGTCAAAAATGGGGTGTCTACACTGATGCAGTTGAATTAGCCCTAGTCTGGCTTATGCTTTGAGACACCAAAGGACAATCCTTAATCATATGGCCCATTTTTCCACAACGAAAACATGCACCAGAAATTCTGCGACAGACCCCTTTATGTCTCTTCTCACACTCCGAGCAAATGGGTGTATCAATCCCTTGGCTTGAGTTAGTAAATGACCCTGTATTCTGTCTTTTGTTCGAGGGAGTGTTGAAGTTATTCCAATCCTTCTTGAAATTAGACCCCAACCTTTTACCCTTTCATTCATTCGCTGGTGCTTTCGCTTGCTTTAGTACAGCAACATTCGCCTCAACTATGATGGACCTATCCAGAACATCAACATATTTCTCTAGTTTGAGTACATTAACTCGATCCAGAACTTCAACATCCAAACTGCCTTCAAACTTTCTGGCTTTCTTATACTCAGTGTCTACCATGTGTGGCGTGTAGTGCGCAAGCTCTGTGAACTTAGCTTCATATTCCACTACTGTCATAGTACCTTGCTTCAACTGCTCAAATTCTGTCACCTTACGGTCTCTTACATACTGTGGAAAATATTTTTCATAAAAAACTTCTTTAAACTGTGCCCAAACCATGGCAGTCTGCTGATTCCGAACAAGCATCCACCATCTTCTCGCTGCCTTTTGCATAGTGAAGGTTGCTAGCAAAACCTTTTGCTCTTCAGTACATGGGAATACTTTGAATAATTTTTCAATCTCCAAAATCCAAGCTTCAGCCTTTAACGGTTCAAGGCCTTCCGGAAAGGTAGGCGGTTTCAGCTTATTGATCTTCTGTGTCAGGGTAATAATGTCACCATTGTTAGGTGGCTCCACTAGAATTGGTGGCGGAGATGGAGGTGGGAAGGGCTGTCTCTATTGTTGTCTTAGTGCTTCTATCAACAATTCCACCATTCTCTCCAACCAGTCCATCCTTGCATCAGAAGTTTCGAATGTCTCTACAGTTCTTGTTTCTTCCATTGGGCTATATATAAACAGAATAATAATAAACATAGGACACATAAGGTTTACACACGCATTACTACCACATAGGCACATCAGATAAACCATACACACTCACACATGCAACTATTATGCCCTAATTTCTTTTCTAGGACATCCTTTAGCTCACTTGGACGCGTGTGTACGGTACAACTCGTGCTCTGATACCACTCTGTCACGACCCAAACCCGCCCCTATAGGTTTAATGTCGTAATCAGCCAGTAATCCACGACTACTGAAGGCCTAACTGAACCAAGCAAATAAACAGGGTTAGTGGAAGCTATAACATAAGTAGATTAAATGTCCAATGAGCTGTGGATTCACATGAGACAGGGGACATTACTATATGTATAAGTAGATACATGCATAAGTACATCAAGCCATCGCAAGTTTGTCCAAAAGACAATTACAAGAGATGAGTCACTCCCATCGAAAACAAAATAATGCCAGTGACAGTCGATCAAAATACATGAGCGAGTTACAAAATGGTGCACACAGGCCAACTCTAAACTCTGGTAGATGGAAACCTTGCAATGAGGCACGGATGTTGGCTTGACAAAATCGAAGTGAGGCTGACGCCACAATGTCCTTTCTTGAGCTGGATCACCTACATGATATAACAAAATATGAGCTAGAGCTCAGTGAATAACAGCTGAATAAAGAGATTCTGAACGGTAATTATAATGTAAATTAAAACATATACTGAGTAGACTTATATGACATTTAAGAAGTATAGCACATCACCTAGTGCATCCAAAAGCAATAAAATACAAGCGGTCCAAAGGACCGAACAGGCAGTCATGAAGACCGAACATGCAGTCAGGAAAACCGGACAGATGGTCAGGAAGACCGTACAGATGGTCATGACGACCGAAGATCAGATATGATAGACAACACCATATTAACCCAGAGTTCCATGAAATGGGACTGACGGATCTGCAATCACATAAATGGTGTCAGGGTTGCCACAGTAAACAAGGAAAACAGTGATAGAATTATCATTCATTAGCATAAGAAACCTTCGAAGTAATGCGTAAATTCGAAGCAGAGAAAAGATACTTGCAATTAAACATATTTGTATAACAGTGTTACTCACAGTCAAGTCCGTGTTGCAGTCGTTCGGAACGAGGTGTTTGACCTTGATGAGTTGATTTAGTGTAATTGTTTCAAGTTCTCTTCTCTTCTCCTTCTTTCCTCTTCTTCTCTAGCCTTGTCTCAAACTTTAGCACTCATTCTTTCTCTCTTTCTCAGGTAATCTCTCTCTCTCTCTCTCTCTCTCTCTCTCTTCTATTTGAGTTCAATATATTTATATATAAAATATCCCAATTCTTTAACTTAGATTAACTAAATAAGAGTCTCTTTAATTAACTTGCCTAATTAATTAATTGCATTACTACCTACCTTAATTTAAGGTGAGCTTATAACTTTACAATTTAACGAATCAGACAAGTCTTTTGGTAAAGGAACATATCTGTTAACAAACACAATGCACAAAAATAGGCATATAAAGCACAGATAGAAGCATAATTCAGATTGATCATAAAAATAACAGCTAAGGAAAAAGGCGGGTGTTACAAATAGCATCCAAAACACATGGAATGTTCACATTAAGTGAAAATAGATCATCCAATTGTATTTTGTGGAATTTGAAAGAAGTCCCTTTTACGGATAGCATTAAGAAAAGCTTATGCATCCCATATTGGGTGCTTTATTCCATGTAAGTTTTCTCTCTGACTTCTTTGATCTAACCTTCCGTCGAACTTTTCCCTATACTTGAAATGAGATTTTTGTTACAAAACAAACTGTCGAAGAACTAATCCATGACCGTGTCTTGACTTCTGTTTACCAGAAGAACTGTTTTAGTTAGCGGCAAGCAAAATTCTTGTTATTATTGATATGTTTTCCTTTTGTTCCCACCGTAGGGATGCAAATGTACCAGTTTCATCCATCCAAAAGTTCGTTGTAGATAGGCTGGATCTTAACTGCCATCAAGCTGAGGTACCTTACATAATCTTAATCACTTTCCCTATGAAAATAAGTTTGTATATGCTAATGTCTATGCACGTATGTTTGGGCGAGTATGTCTTTTCCAGTCTATAGTTGATTCATTAGCTTTTTGTATTTTCCATAGTAGAATTTCCATTTTCTACATTTGTCATTGGCTTAGTATCAAAGTACACTATTTAGAGTATTGTGCATGACTAGTCTCATGTATTGTCAAACACCAATTAAAGAAATCAATTCAAATTGATTAACAACAACAACAATAATAGTATAGTAGATAATCGAAGCATTATTGGCAAATTTGCTAATTACTATAGTTTTTTTTTTTGTTTTTTTTTCCCCAGGTGGAGATCTCATTGAAGGGTCAGCCATTGCACCCCAGCTTGCGACTGCATAACTTAATAGATCTGTGGTTGCAGACAATAGCAAAATCAGAAAAAATAAAGGCAACAGTGGGCAGCTCAGCGAAAGATTTTGTGATGGTTCTCTGTTATGGTTGGAAACCTCAGCCTTGTTAAACATGTTTCTACCTCCTCTGCATCAATCATGATCTCGAGCCTAGGCCACCTGCTCGAAAAAATCAATTTTCCTAGAGTTCCCAATCTTGCTTTAGCGGATGTTTCGTGCACTGGTCATACTTTGTCTTTTTACATTTATATAGAAAAGTTTTAAGTTGTACAATCTTTTAATTGCATCACCATATGCATCCAAATGCTTTGCGTTGCATGTAGTTTTACCTGTACTTTTAATGAGTTTAGGCTTTGTTTTTATTATCAGCAATGATTCATCCCACTAAAAACATTACCACTAATAGCACTAATGCATTAAAAAAGTAAAAAAAAAAAAAAAAATACAACTCTAAGACCAAAACATCACATCATTAATGGCGGGACCCACTGCCACCTAATTAGTGGGAGCACTAATTAGTGCTCCCAAGCATTTTCTTTTATTATATACAAACATGCATGCATGTAACAAAATAAAGGAGGGTGGCCAGACATAGAGATACTTGTTTTATATATTGCATAAATTTTGAAACTGTAGAACTTTTAGCTATTTTGATTTGTTTTGTTTTGTTTTATTTTTAAATTTTATTTTGGTCTCGTTTACGTGATTCTTATAAATTGTGTTAGAATTTTGGATTTATGAAGACAAAATGATATGAAAAGAAAATAAAGTAAAATAAGTTTTTTTTTTCTTTATTAGTTGGGTTAGGTAAATGCTAAGAAAACAAATAGATGGATTTAATGTTTTGTTTAATTACCCATAAATATTAAATATCTACAAGTAAATATGAATAAGTGATTTTTATTTGTCTTATATTTTTGTTAAGAAAATCCAAGATCCAAACGTAGCCTTAGAAAGAAAAAAAAAAAAAAAAAAAAACTTTTGTATAGCATGGTGCTGAGGTAGACAAATTAGATCAAATGTTTAAATAGCCCAAAAATAGACAAAATTCTTCTCGTGGATAATGCCCAAATATTAGAACAAAGGTAAAAAAGGCCACCACTTGTTTTTGTAGGAAGAGGATCATGATCTCGCACGACTTATTGACGCAGATACATGGCATTGATTTGTGTAATTTTTTTTGAAAAATAATTTTTTCCTCCACAATCCCTACAGAGATGACATGGCAAAACATAATATAAGTTCTATACTAATTGAAATGTGAGTTAATTTTAAAAATTTTGCTTGCCACTTCATTTGTAAAGATTGTGAGAGAAGAAATTAAGACAAATTACATATACCTCTCTCGAGATTTAACTAAATTATAAATACCCCTGAGATCTCAGAAATTACAGATACCCCTGAAGTTTATATTTTCATAAATAATTGCCCCCTGAAGTTTATATTTTTATAACAATTTATCCCCTAATTTTTTATGCAAATTGAACCTTCAGGGGAGTATCTGTAATTTTTTAAATCTCAAGAAGATATCTGTAATTTTGCTAAATCTCGAGAGGTATATGTAATTTGTCCAAAGATTATAATATTAACATTTTTAAAATTATGAATTATGATGATGAATGTTTAGTTTGAAATGAAAACAGCACAATAGGCTACTTCGTTATTATTATTATTTGAGGAAAGCATTACCTTTTTTATATGTTGACAGTCCTGTTAGGGCTGAGTAAGAAATCTGTGAAATTCGTAATTCGATCCAATTTAGTCCAATTTGATAGATTTGGATTGATTTTTTGAATTCGTGGTTCGGTTCCGGATCGAAGAATTAGAAATTCGTAGTCCACGGATTGGTTCCAGATTGAATCCCACGGTTCCGGATTGGAACCGATCCGGACCGTATATAAATAGTCTATATTTTTGTTATACATCTTCCTTCATATTATCTTCTCTTATTCCATATAAAACCTAAACTCAAACCTAAACTCGCATAATATCTTCTTTTATTACTTTTGTTTGTTAGTTTCTAGTTTTAATTTGTAATGGTCTAAATACTTATGGTGAAACTAATTTTCTTATGGTTGTTTAAATTTTAGAACGATATGTCGTTATTACAAAAAGACATGTTCTTATTGTAGAACTAATATAGCGCTATGTTTATTTTTTTATGAAATTAAAGTGTTATATATAAATTTTTTTATTATTTAATTATGTAAATCCGTGGTCCTAAACCGATCCAATCCGTGTTTAAATGAATTGGTTCGGATCGGTTCCATGATTTAAACGGATTGGATTGATTCTAATTTTTCAGGAACCGTAGATAACAAATTGGTCCTGCTTTTACCCCAATCCGGTCCAATCCAGACTATGCTCACCCCTAAGTCATGTCAATGTGATAGCGAGGTGGTTGAATTCTGCAGACAAACCATAAAAGAATGTTTATAGCAGTGTTTTTAAAAGCTCCAAGCGCACTAAAACGTTGAAGGTCTTTGGGGGCTTAGGTACAAGGCGAGACGTGAGTTTTATTGAATCTCTCGGGACTTAGGCGCACGGCGAGATGTGAGTTTTATTGAAGCAAGGCACACAATCCTAGTAAAAAATAGATAAATTAACATAGACTAATCATTTATAGTACTAACATAATTTTTTTAAAATAAAAAATAATCAAAACAAATTATAGAATAATTCTCAAAACCAATCATTTCCTACAGCACATAGATAGACTAATCATTTTTTACACAAAAAATTTAATAAATGAAAAATAATTTCAGTGTAATGTCATGTTTGATTAATTAATTAATTATTCGTAATTTTTTTTCCTTAACAGAGAAAGGCAAAAAAAACAGACGAACAGCACAGCAAAGGGAAAAAATATATATATATACTAACAGAGACTAATATAAGTCTTATTTGTATTTTTTTTTTTCTCCTAACAGAGACTCAACTCAAAAGAAGAAGAAGAACAGAGAGAGAGAGAGAGTCAAAGTTGAAGAAGAAGCAACCAGCAACCACCGAAGCAGAAGAATGGAAGACAAAAAATAAAAAAAAAAATAAAACAAAGAGCAAAGAAGAAGAAGAAGCACTAACCTGATGAGTCGAAGTCGAAGTCGAGAGAGGAGCCAAAGGAAGAGACGACACAGATTTCTTCTTCGATAGATTAGGGATTTCAGTAGTATACTAATTTGGGCTGGGTTGTGTTGTATTGTATGAGTTGTAATCCTATGTGATTGGAGCCTCTCCCACACAAATCACAGCCGTTAGATCAAAATTAAGAAGAAAAAAAGAAAGTCCCTTAGGCCCGCACCTTGTGCCTCGTTGCGCCTGGTCCAAGTCGCGTCCAACGCACGCGACTCATCAAATGGCGCCTTGCCTTGGTCCCCTTCAGACGCAGTCCTTGCGCCTCACTGCGCCTTGTGCACTTTTCACAACACTGGTTTATACATATAGGTTCTTAATTATTTAATTTAAAGTTTTTTCTTGAACACTTTGTGGCACAGTTATGAATATTTTTTTTTTTTAAATTTAAACACTTTGTGGCACAGTTATGAAAACTTCACCTACTATTTACAAAGATTTATGCGACAATAATTTGTAGGGTGTAATGTGAATATACTTGTGTTTGCTGCATTGTGGCTTCCATAGCTGAAAACCGTTAGTCTTTATTACTGTTTCAACAAGTCGCTATTGACATTGGCAACAAATTGAGGTGATCTTGTGAGTTTCTATAAAAGGGTTGTTGAGAGAGAGCCAACTATTGTGTAATCTCTATCTGTTCTTCCCTTGTTGACGTAGAATTATAATCGAATTACTTAAATTCTTGTGTTTGTTTTGTTTTACCTTTTATTTTTGCCTTCGGCACAACACATACATGGAATCAATACCAATCATAGTAGCAAAATTCTGTGACTTTTTTTAAAGATCTTCCACATTTAACTTGATCCTTTCAACAGATTAGATCAGTATGCTATTCACTGAGCAAATGGACAAACAAGAACCGAGTTGACAACCATCTAGGTCGCGATTAGTCCTTAACAAGAACATAATTGATGTCATTCTCGACAAAGGCATACTTGGCGAACACACAAAATGACCGAAATATGAATCTGCACAGATAACTCAGCGATTAAGGGGACGAGTCTTGGAACAAGCCATAAACTAACCTTTTTGCTTTGATTCATTAGTGTCTTCCAAGCTCAACTGATACCTATGATTTTCAAGTAACTTCGAGTATCTGGGATTTACTCAAAGGCTCTGCCAGCCTTAGTTGGTTCCTCAGCTTATATTTAAACCCAAAAAAAAACCATTTTGTTTCGACTTTGACATTGAGTGTGTTGCACTCATGCAAGAGGATACTCATTAAGATTGAGGGGAGCAAATGTCTTTATGCTCTCATTTGATGAGAGAAGCATAAATAAAATGCCACAATACTTGATTGCTGCATTCTTCAGATACACGAATTATTTGATAAAGCATAATGTCTAAACAGTAAGTGGTTGTGATTCCCCTGATAGATTAGTAAATATATCTATACCAATTGCCTATTACCAACCAACAAATCAGGTAATCCTTGAGGGTCAACTCGTATGGTAAATCGCCCGGGTTCTATCTAGAAGGTCTTAGGTTCAAGTCTTGATGTCCTACTTCACCTGATATGTGGCGCTAGCAATGTATCCCGAGTTTATCCTATTGGAGTGATCCAAAGTGTCTTGCCTAGGAAAACAGCAGCTGGACAACAGTTGACTAGTGGTAAAGCAAACACTATGGTGAGTTCAGATGGTTAGGAAAGCTATGTGAACCCTGTGCAGGACACAAATAAACCATAAAAATCCAACATGAATGGATGATATGAGGCTGTAACAAACTGATGCAAGACATTTTAATCTAGGGTACATACTTCTTAGAGTGAACCCCTTGATCTTCTCCGTGTATTCTTTTACCATTCCCATAAGCACATATCCACAAATTCACTGTCTCAGTAAAACATTTTTATAGGGGAAGGAGAGAAGAATCAGATTAAAAAGTCATCATTTCCGAGAACTTTATGTTCACTAATAATGAAACAGAGCTCCAAGTTCACAAAATATTATTTTAAAGAAATTGCCACTGAACAAGAAAGGAGAATCAGAGAGGATGCAATTGGGCGAATAATACATTACAAAGAAGCATATTTCTATAAAACAATCTTGCTCTTCCACTATGTAAGCTTGTTCTTGCATAAATTTTTTTGACTAATAAATCAGCTCATGTTTGTGTGGATATATATTGTACATGTGCCCCAATATCCGTTTATCTGGATTCACCTTCGAACAACAATTTGTAACAAGTGACAGACATACATCACAACACCTCTTCTATGGGTGCTTTAATGGTTTAACCGCATATAAAGATCACAGCATCAGCATTTTCTTGGGCAGATAAGGGGAAAAAGCCTAAACAGTTGAAAAGCTTGTAGTTTTTTGAAAAGCTACCAAAAAACTGTGTACAAATTTCAAGATTTCAGGAAAATACCATGCACAGATTGAATTTCCACGAGACGCACAGATGCTAATCATATCCACAATAAGTTTCTAGCCCTTGAAATTTTTCCAAGAAAACTTAACGTTGGGTTTTCATAATGCACACACAGCACAGAATTATACATACTAATGCTATTTTGCAATTCCAAACTCAGAAATCAGACCCATTTCTTCAATATGAAACATCAACTAAAACAAATCAACTGATTGTTATTAAACCGAGCTAGAACTAAACAATTGCAGTAAAAAAGATGGGAGATTTATCAACGCTGAATCTGTATATAATCAAAAACTACATCAATCCAACAATTACCCAACTCTACAACAACATACAAATCCAAATCATTATTTTCCAATTCCAGACACAGTGAACCCCCAAATCCGAAATTGAATTCAAACCTGGCTATAATACCCTCTGGGACTATCCACCACCGAAAGCAACGGCCCGTACGGAGATTCCTGATCATCAACATCGTCGGGAAACCTAATCGCAGCATGTAAGCAAACCACCGCGGTCGAAATCAGCATCGAAACGAGGACGTTGAGCCAGACGTTAGTAAAAATTAGGGCAACAAGAGTGGCCAGACTGAGCAGAATCAGCACAAGTCGATCGTCGATGGTGCGATTGAAGAGTACCAAGGTGTCGTGGCGGAAGATGTAGAGGTAGAACCAGGCGGCGATAGTGAAGAGGAAGACGATGATGGAGATGGGGTGGTAGATGAGGGTGATGAGGAGGATGATGAGAGAGATGATGGTGTAGTTGAGGCGGAAGTGGAAGAGGTTGGTTCGGATGCGGAAGGAGGCTTCGGAGAAGGACAGAGGGAGGCTGAGGGAGGAGAGGGAGAAGAGTTGGGACCAGGGGCGGAGGGTGGAGGAGATTGAGTGGTGGATTTGGGAGGAGAAGTCGGTGGCGGAGGAGAACGGTGGTGGTGGGAAGGTTGATGGTTGGATTGGGGTGTAACGACCTGGAACAGTGGTGGTTGTTGCCATTGTCGTACTCAGTCAACTTTGAGGACGATGAAATTGCTAAACCAAAAAGAAAGTTCTTAACGAGGCTGTTTTTTTGGTTTTTCGGTATGAACGACGAAGCTAGTATTAGCTTTCTTCCTAATCTATATATTATAAAGGAAAAATGAGAGTTTTTAATGAGAATGTTTGGTGAGAGTTTTAATGGGTGGTTTGGAATGTTTTAAATAAATGTATTTTTTGATTTTTTATAAAAAGATGTGTAAAAATTTAAAATTTAAAATTAAACATTATTAATATATTTCACAATTTGTTTTATCTATATAAACCTAAAATTAAGCCTAACATAAAATAAAAATTAAATCTTATATTTAGATTCTCTCTGTTCCATAATTAAACACAATTTTATTCCTAAATAAATTTTAGCATATCTATACTACATATAAATTTTTTTTTTAAAATCTCATAATTTATTATTTTTTATAATGATTCCATGATTTATAATTTTAAAAAAAAAAGATGAAAAAAAATATTCTTGCGCACTCTTTTTCTAACTATTTTTTTTTCAATCCAAAAATTTTAATCATCATACATTATTCTTTTTCCAAGTCATTCATGTATTCCTCGTCCTATAAATATTACGTTTTATGAACTTTTTATGAGACAATTTGAAAGTTAGTTTATGTTTAATCTATTGTATTCTTTAAACAGACTTTTTTATACTTTAGGTATACCATTTTTTCTTCTTATTTTTTATCTATGATAATTTTTTTGTTTTTATATTTCATATTTTGTGTGTCATTTTGCCCCTCTCTCCCCACCATTATCTTTTTTGGTTTATAACCATTTTTGTTGGTTAATATTATTTTACTAGAATTTTTATACTAAATTGTGTGATAGGATGATTTATATAATAAAAAACATGTCACTCATTATAAAGTGATAGATCAAAATTCAAACACAATCATTATTAATAAGTTTTTTTGTATTGATTTTATGTTTGTATATCATTACTTTTTTTAAATAAAAAAAAAGTTGCTTTTAATATTTTTTTTGATATCATGATGTGTTAATTGACAGTTGGTACGGTGCCGTTTGGTAACATTTACATTTTCAGTTTTCAGTTTATATTTACAAAAAAATAAAAAACTCAAATAAAAATTTGCTTGGTAAATTTTTAATTTATAAATCAATGGTCTCAGTTTATAAATTTGGCCAAAAAATGCAAACTCAAAAAATTAGTTTACGTTTTGAGTTTTAAGTTTTTTTTCTTTTACCACCCAACACTAGCCACCACCCGTCACCATTTTCCACCACCGTCTTCCGCCACCCGTCACAGCCACACCACTGCCACCACCACTCACGTCATCTACTCGCCACCACCACCCCACCCCTCGCCCACCACCTGCCACCATTCGCCACCAACACTACACGCAACCACCCGACCTACCACCCCACCTGCCCACCACCATCACACCCCGCCACCACCACCACCATCACCACCACCACACACGCCACCACCACCTGCCACCACCACTACCCCTCGTTACCACCCGCCACTGGTCACCATCCACCCACCACCACCACTACCCGCCACCTACCCGCACACCACCCACCCACCACCACCATCTACCCGTCATCCGCCACCCACTGCCACCACCAACCACCACACACTCACTCGCTACCACCGCCACTGTCACCCATCCACCTACCACCACCACCACCACCCTCGCACCTGCCATCCGCCACCCCCACCCACCACCACCACTACCCACTCACTACCACCCACCACCGCCACCGTCACCCACACCCACCCACCACCACCCGTCATCCGCCACCACCCGCCACCACTACCCACAACCCACTCGCTACCATCCACTACCCGCCACCGTCACCCACCTACCTACCACTACCACTTCGCTACCATTTTCCACCACCGTCTTCCGCCACTACCACCCGCCATCATTTTCCACCACCGTCTTCCACAGCCACCACTCGTCTCCACCCACCACCAGCCACCACTTGCCATTTCTCACTCTTTTTCATGTTTTTAAAAATTTTTAAACATTTTGTCTAAACCAAACGTGTTTGTAGTTTATATTTTTCTAAAAATAAACAAAAAATAAACAAAAACCAGTTTATAAAATTTTTGTAAATATAAACTGAAAACGTAAACGTTACCAAACAGTTAATATTACTTTAAAGACATGTAATAGTTTTTCAAAGCTATAAAAAGAAAATTTTAATTTTAATCAATTTTTTTAAAACTATTAAAGGTGCTAGTCAATTATTTAATTATTTATCTTTAATATGTGCAGCTCATGTCTTCCTTTACGGTACTTCTCTCTCTTTATTCCCTATGAGTTCATATGTTTTTAGAAAAAAATCATATGTAATTTAAAATTGTGAATCTTTTTTATATAGAAAGTTAAAAACCATATCCTTTTAAATATAGCCATATTTATAATTAATTTTAATCTATCTATTACCTATCCTTATTTGTATTACTTATAAATAAAAATGTTGTACAATAATTGAAGTTCAAAGTCCTAATCTTTTGTTTTTTCAAAATTTAAAATTGTTAAAATGCATATGTTGCAATATCATTAATTTCTTCCCATTATAAATTTTATTTTAAATCTTATAAGATTTGTTCAATGACTAATATTCAATTTTTGTAAAAATATTCCAATATATTCCTTCCAAAAGTTAATATAACAAGTCTACAAAATCATATTTTAAAACTCAAAGTTATTAATATTTTCATTTATTTTTTATTTTTGTTTTAAATAAGCATGTTAAACTATAAATAGATATCTAGATAAAATTATACTTATTAATAAATATGGAATTAGTTTTAATTGTAATCACATCTTTTTAAAGTCTTTATTCATTTTTTAACTTTTATTTTGATATTTTAAATTACATGTTACGATGATTCTTTGTTACTCATTAAGTTTTTAAAATTTCTTTAACTATTTCTCTTTGAAAAATCAATATAACAATTTTTAAAAATTCATATATTTTTATTCTAAAATAGTGAAGTATTAGAACTATGCCATTTTTTTTATAACAAAGCATAAGTTTAATTGTTAATTGTCAATACAACAATTTTAATGTATCTATTCTATATATTATAGTAAAAGAACATTTGAAACAAAACTTTTAAACTTATATATATAATTTTATTTACGAGAGACAAAATACAAAAAATTGAATATAATTATTGTATTTTTAATAAATAATATATTATTTTACCATGTGCTTAGCAAGGGTGACATGCTAATAAATAAATAAATAAATGTATAAGCAAAGTCGATATTAATTTACAAAAATACGATTTGTCAACCCTCCTCTTCTTTTTTCTTTATATTTTATATTTTTTTATTAGAAGTTAAGAGTGCTGGAGGATTAGATTGGGTTGAAGTAATCTCTTGAGAGAGTAATTTATATGAAAATTGGGCCGAGCTGGGTAATGGGTCGTTATGGGCCACAGTGCGAAGGGCTGAGTAAAAAGGCCATGAAGTTACTCCGGCCCAAGAGAGGTGTAAAATTACTCCGATCCGCGAGAGACCTGAAGTTACTCCGGTCCCAAAGAGCTTACGGTAAGTTTGGTCGTCACTCACAAAGTTATCCCGGTTTGGACCGGAGTATTGGTTATTCTGGTCTAGACATACCATGGTTAGCATTAAGAAGAGCCAATGTAAGAGTAGTGAATGGAAGAGCCGAACTAATTTTATCTCGGTCTAGTCTGCGGCTTAGCATAGCCATGCTTACCTCGGTCATGTTGAAGTCTGACCATAGTAGAACCATCTCACTTGGTTTATGCAATGAGGGGGGTGTTGAAGGATAAACATTATCTTTCAGGAGTATGAATCCTAGGAGGACTCTACATGGAGGAGTGAAAGTCCTACTAGGATTGTGCCATGCGGAACCTATAAAAGCTTACAGCATCACTTATGAAGAGGTAACACAACTTTGATTCCTGAATACACAGAGCTTTTGTCTACTTGTCTATTTTGCTGACTTAGGCATTGGAGAGGTTTCCGGCACACACCCACTGGCTAGCTCACGTTTGTGTTTTCAGGGAGTAAAGCGACGACGTTTGGAGGAGCGCGGACTTGATCAACAGGATCATACGAGAAGGTTTATTTCTTTCCCGTATAATTGGCGCCATTTGTGGGAACATCAGACTAGAACAAAACCTCTTGATCAAGCTTTGCCTCTTTAGAAGTAATGGCGCACAACGAAGATTTGCCGCAGTCCGCCATCGACGGACAAACACCAGAGGGAGGTGCAAGGTGCAAAGGCCTACCTTCTATCCCTCCCATGGCGGACTTGGAGCCACAACGACAAAATCCCAAGAGGGATGCAAGGGGGAGGAGGCGGACTAACAGCCCCCATCACTCTCATTTACGAAGTCTTGACAGACAAAGGCGGAGGATTGATCCTCAAGTTCTGGAGGACCGCGTGAAGGAGCAAGATGAATTAATAAAAAAGATGGCGGCGGACATGGAGGCCATGAAGCGCCAGATCAAGGGAAAATGGGTGGCGACAAGAGAGGGGCGCAAAGGCAATGCGCATCCTCGCCACTCAGAAGATCGTAGTAAGCATATTACGACATCGCAAGCAGAGAGTAGAAGCCTCAGGACGAGCGACACTCAATCAAGGACTTCCAGAACTCGTTACTCCAGGTCTGAGAAAACGAGATCATTAAGGTCTTATACAGAGGGAAGTACCTATCGGCCCTCACACACGGACCATACATCATCCAGACAAACGGAGTTGCCCAGATCGTCCGACTTACGAACTGTGCTTGAAGAAAAGGCACGAGGGAAGGAGGATACTAGGGCGCGCAACCCTCGCAAGGTATCTGCCCTTCAACGGTTGGCTCCTCGGACGCATGGAAGCGTCGAGGTCGGAATGCCGTTACCACGCCCTGCCTACGAACCAACGGACAAAGCATTAGCAAGGCTGCAGACCTCGCCGTTCGTTCTGGCAATTGAAAGCGTGCCCCTACCTTCAGGCTTCCTTCAGCCCAAATTCACCACGTACGAGGGGAAGACGGACCCCTACATACACCTAAGTCTCTTCCGCTAGGTTATGGCGGTATATCGGCGAAACGAGGCTTTGATGTG